ATGCAGCACAAAGACATGAATGACCATGCCTGACTGCTCAATGCAATGCTTTGTTTACATATTTGACATCTCTGTTAAAATAGTTGTATGTCTTTTTTTTATTAAGATACACAGATACCTAGTACTGAAAGAAAATACTTGCAACAGAAAAAAAGCATTAAAAGATTCTTCAACAATAGGACTCCTTTTCCTATTAGCAAGTAGGAACATTTTACAGGCCAGGGGAAAAAAAAAATCCCAAATCAGTGCAGTGAATGCAACACCAGTTTGAGGATCACTACTTAAATCAACAATTCCTATCCTTAATCTATGTACAAAGTAATCCATTACTTCTCTATAGCAGTACCAGACTAAACTTCCTACGTTGGCCAATAAAAACTACAATCAAGGCTCCTCCTCATTTTCCCTCATTCATCTTTTATTTAGGGAACAGTGGCCTGAGAGTGTCTGTTGTTCTCCTTATGCTATTTGCTATGGAGGATATAACTTGTGGAAGGAAATAAAAAGGTGCTTTACTTTCCCCTATAGGTGCATAAGGCAAGCAATGACCTAGCCCTACATGTGCTATATATTACAAAGCCGTTATGCCTGCTTTAAGTGTCTCTTTTTTTTTCTTTTTTTTTTTTAACACATATGGTATTATTTATCTTTGTGGGTACAAATAAAAATAAAGACTTCTTGAAACCACATTTGATTTATTCCTGACCACTGTAAAATCAGTAATAGAATACACTGTCAAACCACTGGCATGGAATGTGAATAATGTCTATCCTGCATTCTGACTTCCCCCTCTCTCACACAAACACACACACATGCAACTACATTAAAGAATGTGAGGCAAGAAGAGTCATGCTGAAGTTGGGATTCACTGTATGCAGCCGTTGCAAACGCCAACTACCCAAGCAAGGTTCACAAATTCAATTGTTCGAATAGAAGGTCTCAAGGCATTGACAATGATGGGCCAGAGGGCAACGAAAGCTGGAAACATCCTAGAGGAAAAAAGCGTACTGTTCCAAAAAGCCAAAGTGAATTAGTATTTTGACACAAGGTACTGCAATGGCTGGCCAATTAATAGTACTACCGAGGTTACTAGCAGCTACTAATGAGGGAGTCGGGGAACAAAAGCACCAAGAAAACATACTTAAAGCAAGGTGCTGACTCTTCCAGCATTTACCAGTCAGAAAGTATCTTCAGAATTAGACCCTAAACTATTAAGGTTCTTCATCAAGGTAGCGAATTGCTCATGAATCCACAATATTTTAAAAGCTCTGTAGCTGAATATTCATATTATCCCAAAGTGCTTAGATCACTTCAAATGGGCACATGGGAAATTTGTGATGCTCAATTTGTGGTTAGTTACTAATGCAGCAACATTTTGCATTAATGAAACTCCTGATGTGCATTAATTACTGTACTGGCTTGTAACACATTTTTGTGCCTATTAGTTTGCTAATACGTAGAATAAAAATAATCATGTATGACTTGTGTGAGTAGGGAAGTGTAAGCCACAGCTCATTTGAATTTAGAAAAAACAGACTACATTAAGAAACCATGCAGTTTCTCACCAGTGTCTCTCGTGCATGAGAAGATGAGAAGATGAGAAGAAATGCATCAGCACATCTGAGTTCCTAGAAAAGAACTTACCTTGGAGTCCCTAGAAATCGCTGTGATCTCAGTTGTTCAGCCACGTACAAAGACGCTGCTGTTGCCAGTAGTTCTCTTCTTTCAAGATCTGTCAACTTGTGTCCTAGTTTTCAAAAAGCAGTTAAAAGAAAATTAGATACCAGAGACCAACACAGACACAAAAAGTAACAACTGCCAGTGAAGACACTGCTCAGTCCTTACACATGAAACCTACATTTTTTCCCCTAAATTAAGATGAGGCTCAGCATAGCAGACGCTCTGAGTTTCAGAGTTTAAATTGCATGTTTTCATACAGATCAGCCCTACTGCTAACACTGGTATATCTGTTAAAAACAATTTGACAACTGAAAGAAAAAGAACTGAATGATGCTGCAGCATCTTGTTTTCGTTACTGAAGTGTCACTGCTTGACATATTGTGCCTCATGCTGGTAAGGAATCCATCTGTACATTAGAACTTACTCAAGATATACAGCATTCTTTCTCAGTACTTTACCTTGCAAAGGCTACAGAACTTCCAGGCAAAAGGGATAACACAACAACATAAACCCCAGAAATAAATGTGCATAACACTACTTGTCAGACCTGGGTCATTTAGTGCCATTTGTGTAATCATTACTTTGTGATAGTGGAGTCAAAGTCATGTTTGGCACTTTTTAAGCAGAAAATGGCTCAAAGTAGCCTACAATCTGAAGGCAGGCAAGCTAATAAAGGTTTGGAGAAAAAGGTGGAAAGCAGGGCGATTGGAAGCAGGTTTTCTCCCAAGCTGGCCTTGTTCCAGAAAGTGAAGTTAATTAGAAATCCAATTGTCCATTCAGCAGGCTAAAAGACAGAGGTGACAGAACTTCGCCTGTCAGAACCCGCACAACACACATTTGGTACAAGAAGCTGGCAAACAGGCAGCCAAGACTGGTGTCAGCAGAGAAGTAGAAGAGTCAAAACTGACATGAGAGGGAGCAAAAAGACAAGTAGTCAGTCCATAAGACAGTGGCAGGAAGTTAAAGTTGACGTAGAAGAGGACAAGAAGTGCAAAGATGAATTGTCATGGAGAAAAAGAGGCAAACTTTATCCTCAGGAGAGAGATTTCGCACAGATGAAAGCAAGGGTATTTCAAAAGCCGGAGGAGAGGAAAAGGCAATAAATAAAGTTAAAAAAAAGATAAAGGTAAGACTGAAAGATTTAGCTGAATGCAGTTACAACACAGCTCTCAAAAAGTGCTTTATGCAGCTGCTGTCTGCCTCAGCAGACCTTCATGTGCACGTATCACAGCAAATGCCATCATCCATGGCAAGGACAAATTCACGTGAAGGGATGGGGGAAAATATGGGGAAGGGGTTCAGAGGGCTTTATCCCCCTGAGCAACTCTGCCCAGTGGGGCACGTTTGCTTCCAGTCCCGCAGCAGAGAAACAGCTACACCTTCTACAGTTCCCTTCTACACCTCGGTTTTCCCATCACCTCAGCGCTACTGCATGTAATGGTAACTCACATTCCCTGGCACTGGTCGCTAGCGAGTGACAATTTCTATCACTAGCATAAAATAAGACTAACGCGATCCTCAGGAAAACCCAGAATGCAGACCTCTGAAAAGGACTGGAGCAGACTTTACAGTAACAAGTGCACAATTTCAAAACAGGACGTCTTCTGCACAGGAGCCGTCCTTCCACTGGATAAAAAGGCTGCTTAGAGTCCACCTCAGCAATGCCATCATGCCACAGTGATGGAAACACACTCATTGCAGTCCCAGCAAACAGTACAAAGGCGCTGTCACAGGCAAAAAAAATGTAAATTTTAAAATAACAAAAGCCAGCAAATCTGCATCAATTTATTTTTAATTTAGTCCATATTAACATATTCTGGCTAAAGATTACTGCAACCTCCTTCGTTCAGTGTTTATTTTTTATCTGCCTTGAAATGGAAACTATCTTTACTTTAACAAACGTGTGCAGAAACACAAATTTGGAAAGGTTGAGGAACTGGCTTGAGAAACAAACTTGATCTTTCCTTTGCCAGTTACTAGAAAAACTGATTGCAAAGCAAAAGTCAAAAAACACTGAACTTTTGTACTATTTGTGTATATATACATACACATATACGTGTATATATAAGCCCTTATATAATTATACAATGCAGTAACATCAACTATCTGGCTCTGAAACGTGCCAATTTTCCAGTTTTGGGGGGGTTTTGCCTCTTTTTTTTCTTTTTTTTTTCTTTTTTTTTTCTTTTTTTGTTACACACAGTGAAGAAGCTCTGAGATCCTTTTTCTAAAATGCTGTATCTAAAATTGGTGATTTGTTTACATGTCTCTGCTAAAGATACATCAGGAAATCCATTCTAAAACCTTCACTTTTCAGCCACCCTGCCTAACACCCATGACATGTCCATGTGACCAAAACTGCATGTTCCCACCTGCTCCAACACACACTGGTACTATCAACTCATAAAAAGGAGCAAGGTAAAACTAGAAGGATCCTAATTTGAAGGTTTTATTGCATGACCTTCATCTTGGATTAAATCAATAACTGCTTTTGCACTTGGTGTGCTGCAAAAACTATTTTCTCCCTGTATCTTCAATAAAAATCAAACGCCAAACAGTGAACAAAGGTCAATAATTTGAAACAGGTTAACAACCGATCAAGAGTTACAGTCACTTCTTCATTATCACAAACATGAAAAAGACGTTTATCCACTTTCTCTATTTGTCACTATCTGCATTAGTTGTGGCACAGACAGAAAAACAGTCATGACTGCCGTATTCAATGTGGGCAATTTGCATTTATTTTCCTAAGTCTCAGAGGTAATATAAACTGTTAGTAAGAACATACCAAAATTAGGGTTTGGTCTCTGGCAATAAAGATACAATCCTACCACAGAATGTCCTTAGCATAACTTTGGAGGCAGACCTCAGAAGCTTGATTAAAGGCTGCTTCCTAAGGATGGCAATTTACCTTTATTATACAAGACAGACTGCCTCAGTTCTCTGAACTCCAGCCCCATCTCCCTTGCCTTCTGCTCTTGCTCTGCTGCTCTGCTCAGCAGAATTTTAAGCAGTTTTAAAGTTAAACTTTCAATTACATTACTATATTTGGAAATACACAAATGCACCAGATAGCTATACCTTTGTTTCCCTTCAAGTCTTATTTCACCTTACAAGCTACCCCTCAGGATTTCAGTTGGATGTCTTGTATAAGTTAATATTCACCATCAATAAAGATGTAACAACACAGTCTTTCATGTTCACCATGCAGAAGATCGATGAGAAAAGTAACAAAGCTACCTCTGGGGCATTTGTCCAAGTGCTGCCTTGATAGGGAGTGAAACGAGTAAGTAGCAAAGGTTGCCCAGCTTCCAACACGGGAAGTTCTGTCATTGCTCTTTCCTACTCTCATCACTGCAGACCCCTGGGCTACACGGAGATTTCATCTCCACCATAAAATGTAAATCAGCTCCCAAATCTTCTGCATTCTCACTATCATCGCTGAACTGAATTATACAGGGTGAACGTAAAACAGGATTAATGGCTATAAAATTAAGTCACAACTGAAGGAGTGGAAGCACTGTTGTTCGTATTATTTAAAACTAGACCGCATGCATCTATTACTACTAAATCACAGAACCCTGGTCGGAAGGAAGACAAGGAAAAACCGTTTCTCTCATTTCCCTGATGTTATGATTGCTTAAATCAATATTATCCCAGTTTCCCCCAAGCTGAGTCAAAAAGGTTCATGCAATTACTTTACATAACCAACTTCAAATTAAATTACATAAAAGGTAATTTTTCCCATAACATTCTCATTTGCATTTTGTCCTAGAAATGTGTTTCCTACTATCAATGATGGGGGGGGAGGGAAGGGGGCAATAAATAAATAAACAAGCCCTGGTTATGTGCCTGGGTCAGTTACTTAATACTTGAAAAGTGACTGTTTTCTGATTGGGAAGAATAAAAATTAAAAGCAAAATGTGTGAGATAGAAAGTACAATGCATAATTCAGATCCATAGCAATGCAGGCAATGTTTATATCATTCCTAGGTTCTGTTTTGGCTCGAGTTTTCACCCAATGGATTTTGAAGTTGACCATTACAGATGGTATGTACACCAAGCAGGCTGAGGCAGAAAAAGTTGCATGTTATTAGGGGTTTTAAAAGTCCAGCAGACCTTTGCTCCACCCAGATGGTCATGGTAAAAACCAGACAATATTGTCTGCGTATGTCTCAAACCATTCAGAACAGTGAAGATGTCTCTCAGAGAGCTTGTGATCACTTATAAGATGGATGCTATAGCATAAAGAAAGGAAACCTCTACTATTTTGAGTTATAAAGGGATTAGTGACAGACCAAGAAACACTTCTTGGTGTCACCTGTCAGAAAGAAGAAAGTCAAGCAAGCTATCTATTAAGTCAATTTTTATAATCCAGTAGCTTCATAAAATGAAGACAAAGATTAGATTCCAGTGTCGAGAAGATGAACAGAATTAACAGCAACCATCCTCTCCCTTCTAATAGTAACACAGGCAAGGGAAGCTGCATTCCCCTCTCCAACTAAATTTGAAAGTCATATCTACAGTCCCAATTCACCTAAAAAGCACTTTCATTCGTAACAGAATCATGGAGTGACTGAGGTTGAAGGGACCTTGGGAGGTCTTTAGTTTATTCAGTGTGCCCCCCCTCCCCACTGAGCAATCTCAACATCAAATTCAGACCAGTTTGTGCAGTCAGGTCTTGAAAACCTCCAATTTACATGTACCTCACTGAAGAGCCTGGTTCTGTCTTCTTGGGAACCCCCTCAGAGGTATGAGAAGGCTGCCAGTATGTCCACCCTACGCTTTCTTGTTTCCAGGCGAAACAAGCCTGATTTTCCCGGCCTCTCCTCATAGGTCCTCTGCTCCAACCCCAACACAACCCTGGTGGCTCTTCGTTAGACTTTGTGAAGTGTATTGACATCTTTCTTACACGTGTGAGGGTGTTCGAACTGGACACAGTATTCCAGGGGTGGTTTAATTAAGTGTTGAGTAAAGAGGACTAATCAATCCCTTCAGCCCACACAATTTTAACAAACACAATGTATCTAAAAGCCTTCCCCTCATACACACTCTCTGGAGCCAATACACAATTGCAGGAGAGAGAGGTGTTTCCTCTTTCTTCCCTTCTGTATCAGAAATCAGTTAACACAAAGGACTGTCCATCAGAACTTCTGCTCTTCCTCTCCACCCAAATGAGGTAAACGTGCTAGAAGAGGGGCAAGTAAAGGATTCTTTTTCCTTTTCCCCTGTGTTTTGGTATGGCTTTTGTGATAATCTCTTGGAAAATGCCTCATTTCTCATTTGCACAGGATGTCTCTCCCAAAGAGACTGATCAAGCATTTCAGATGTCATTTACTAACCAGGAAGAGTAGACCATTAAAAAAAAAAAAAAAAAACCCAAAACAAAACCTCAGCATTCAAACAGATATCCAGGAAAAGATGGATTAACTGTGAAACAGACTGAACCACAAAGAATGATCCAATGGGTAGGGTACTAACCTAAGGATCCTTGAATTTAATTTGTTTTTTGCCAACGACTCCTCTTAGGCCTTTGTGAAAATAGAGATACTTTCTGTGCCTATAAAATAGGGATAATCGATAGTATATTCCTTTCTCACCAGCCAGGTTAGGAAGTACAGAGGCATCCCAGGCTGCTTGGAAGCTGTAAAAGGACAGCTCATCTGACGATACCTAATAGTATGGACTACTCCTGCATGCTTGGTAAACATTTTTATTCTGTGAGCAATGTGCTTGGAGGCCACTCTAAGACAGATGTGTTTGCATCATCTGACCTAATCAGTGTTGCTGCACCCACCCTCAGATCCGCGCTCCTCCCAAAACACGCATGTGTGCTCAGAGCAATAACCCACTCCAGCCGACCCACTGCCAGCCGGCACTGTAGCCGTCCATCCCTTGTACAGACAACAAAAGGGTATGACAGCAGCTGTTTCCCCACACTAATCATACCCTGAGCAAGGTTGGTTTCAGCACAGCAATATTTTAAAACAACTTGCAATAAACAAACTGCTTGTGTTAATGAATGCTTGTTTAAAGAAGGGAAGAAAAAGAGTTAAACCCTAATCATGAAAATTACTACACATTGCTGTCCTAGATGTAATTTGAAGTGGGCATCACAGGTTAATGGAAAAGCTGCCAAGATATTTCTAATAATTAATTTTTTCTTAACTTACAGTAAAAGCCTCTAATAAAGGACTTATAATGAAACGCCTGAAAATGAGACTGGAAAACAAAGCATCTCTTATTTAACTTTAGTCTTACTTAAGAGTAAATATTTATATTTGAATAAAAATGCACATAAGAAATGGGCCAGTACTTCATGCAGTCACCAGAAAGAACACTGCTGACATTCATGACTTAACCATCACTGTAGACCAACTGTGGCAATTGTGTAGTTTACAAAAGAAACACACTGGATTGTGCTCGAGCATTAATACAGCACGCATCTTCATTGAAATTTTTTTATTTCTTAAGTTTTCCAGATTTAAAACACTTCTGGTATGGATTCCTACTGTTAACAACAGCACATATTTCTATGTATTTCCAAATCCACTTTGGCTACATATTGCTTTAATTTTTCAGATTATCCTAGATCTTTTTTTACAGCTACACGTCTTTTATAAACAATATTAAGATATATGATGCTATTTAATTTTCAAATCCTCCTAGCAAAGTTTACCCTTGGTATTTATGTAAAAAAGTTAGTTGAAATGAGTAGAGGACTTACATTGCATAAGTTAATTCACCTTTGTTTCTCTTGCTGAGCTTCTACCCACCATCTGCCCACCACCCTTGCTTGCCTTCAAGAGTTCCCATTAGAGTCTTTGCATTTGCAGAAATATTTTTCAATAGGTACTTAAAAAACTATCCTCTAATTCAACTCACTGATTTTTCTTTTTTTTAAGGCAGAAGGGTCTGATCCAGAGCCAACTACATCATTAAAAGGGCTCTCAATTACTTCAGTGAGCTTTGAATCAGTACTCTTGACTTGAAATACAAATGCTTTGTAACAATGATGCCTGCATTTTTTTTTTATCATTAAGAAGTCTAATGCATGCTTGTATTTGATACATGGAAGGAGAAGAGCGAGACTTTTCATACAGCAGGAACAAAGTCCAGTCATTTCTCATGTGCCATTCATTAGTTTCTATTATGAACTGTCACTATATCTCGTGTCTTCTGGTGTCTAGAGCAAAAGCTTATCTTTAAGACTCTGTTAATAATACTCTGTTAATAATAATTACTGTTTACCTCAGACTGTGACACTAAACAGCCATTTGCATCAGTGTGTATGCGCACAAAAATACTACGTGCATATACAGTTCAAGTCAGATCACACCAAAAAATAAATTTCTTGTCATCCTGCAATTTGTGGACCAACAAGTAATTAACTCATTATATACAGGTTAACATTGCAATATAAAATATTAAAACAAGAATAAAAGAACAAAAGAACAAAAGAGAAGAGTGCCTTTCCATAGTCAAAAGGGGTCTCCTCCTGGGTCAGCAAAACCTGTTCCAGCTTCTTACAAGTGACCAAGGGCCCCAACAGAAACATTATCACAAATAAGTGTAGAATGGTTTATGTTTTTATTGTTCCCAGTTGTGTGTGAGGTGAGGCTGCCTTTTCACAACATGGTATAAAAAATCTAACGTCTTGCATCCTCACCTTTCTCCTCCATTCCCTTCTCCCCATTCTTAGCCTGCCACTCACTTTGCACATCTGGTCCAGGTTCACCAGATTCCTTCATGAGCCAAGTCAACCCAAGAACTCTCAAAAAGCTACCCCAACAAAAGCAGCAACAACAAAAAACGCAGGTTTATGGCGGTTAAGGGAACTGAATCCACTGAGGAAAAGGACTGAGAAAAGTCCCAGAACCATCAAAGAGACAGGACGTGGGATTCTGTATTAAAGTGTCAGGGAAGGGAGACAGACCAGCTAATCAGCAGCACTGCACCTTCAGAGCAGATCAGAGTACCCTCAAGTCTACGCTGGCTGAAAGCCAGCTGAGTTACCTGAAGATTAGTTAAGCACATCTTAGCAAAGATGACAAAGGAACATTTAAGCTTCAGCCATCGCAAACTTACTGCCACCCAAGGTGACTAACTCCGATTGCTTTGGTCGCAGTCAGGAGCCAACAGCAAGCTGGATGCATTACTCCCGCGTGTAGGACTGTATCACGGAGTTGCGAATTACATCACAATACAAATGCGTTCTGGGGAATATTCTTTGCACCAAACTCACACACTGAGTCCTGAGGTAAGAGAAATCTGTTCTGCTCCTTAATGAGACTAGAATTTGGCAAGGTGCCAGCCATGTCCAGTGACTGCCAATCTGGCAGTGTCGTCTCCAAAGTGGGATGAGGATTCTGCCACATTGGATTAATGATGAATGGGGGAGAAAGGAATCTCCATGGGATTCATAAAGGACCCAGGAATGATGAGCTATAAACGTTGTCCTTTTTTTTTTTTTTTTTTTTTTTTTTTTTAAATAAGGAAGAGATTCTGCCTGAGGAATGCCAGCTGAGGTGTGAGGCCTGTACAGGACTGAGTCTCTGACCACACAGGTCAAGAAAGCATCTACAGCAGATTGGCTGAGAGAAGACAACCTTTTAAAATTTGATCCTTGCGAAAGAAAACCTATCTATTTGTTTACTTACATTTCTCTATCAACTGTTGTTACACATTTTTGCAACTGAGTTGTTTGGGATGTTGCAAATAAACATTTGCATTTGTGTTTATGTTAACCTAGCGTATGAGTTAACAATTTCAAGGTGATGCCCATTACTGTGTGTATTAAAGCCACGTTACTGAAATACTCTGATAAAATGCCAGATCCTCCAGACATTGCTACAGTGAATACAAAGGGTGCCAAAGGGCGATTCTAAAGATGCTGCACAGTCACTGGAGAAGCAATAGTGTTGAGTAAAGAGAAATCTTATCTTCCATTAACAGTAGGAACACTGTCTGTAATGAAGCATAATAGCATGGTAGAGTTGAATTGATGTTTATTTTACATATTTCATATCACCTACACATTGTTTTTCTTGACTTTGGATGTACTTCATTTACTATTTTGTCACTACAAGCATGTATTTTGCCTTCTTGAAAGCAAAGAAAGTAACTGTTTCAATTACATTATGCATTATTTAAAAACTAATTGTGCGTATGCACAGATATGTTTGAGAAAGAAAAAAGTAAAGACTGATTGGGGAATGTGTCAGTCTATAAATATAAAAGAATAATAATCAGAAATAACACCTCTCAAGAAAAAAAAGAAATATTCTCAAATGGAACTAACCTTTAAAACCATCAGGATAGACTTCGGGAAGGAATTTAGTGCTGATGTCTCCTTGAACGAAGCGTGGATGGACGATCACTTCTCGTAGTAAAGAAATATTATGAGCCACACCTGAAAACAACAAATAATACAAAATCAGGTAAACATATAAATCACAGATTACAGTAGGAAACAACTTGTAAAAATATGAGCTTTTATCTTTGTAGTATAAATACTTGTTCACAACTTAGAGACCATCGAACTGATGTAATCAATGCAGTTTTGTTCCACTCCTGCCTCAAGATACCCTCCTTAAACACTTAGTTTAATTAAGAAGTAAACCTTCCAAACTTTCACCTCACCAAGCCTAATTCAAACACCTATTTAAGTCAATGACAGCACGCACAACCAAGAGACTTTTGGTTCAGTCCTAGCAGATGTAGGCAAGACCAGAGTCATCTCCTTGAAATGACAGATTAGTCATGACCATAAGTATCAGCCCAATTCCAGTGAACCCTGGTCCACCTTGTCATCCTGCCACCTTATATACACACGTTCCTGTGGAAGATATGTGTCATGTTACACTCCAATCACAGTAATGACAGACAGTAAAACGTTTTATCACTTACATATAATTTTATAACATTTTTGTCATTTGTAAGTCATAAAAGACTCCTGTGGAACTTACAAAACAAAGACATTTATTGCTTGCTCCGTATACACCTTCATCCAGCCTTGCCTGGCCCAATTCTTTTATTGAATGCCCTGTTCCCCCTTTAGCACCATTCCATGGCCCTGCTAGGCATATAGCCTCCCCACCCCCCCAAAAAAAAACCCAAAATTCTTTAATTAAAAGCTTGCTTATCATAGAGCCCTTATAGGGACCTTTGTCCTCTAATTTCTTTGAATATTATACTTTTTTGTTCCTTTTTTTCTGAATTTCTTCATCTCCTTTCATTCCACATCTCAGCCTGTCTCCTCTTTCTTTTTTTCGTATTTTAGTTTCCCTTCTTCTCCCCTGCTTTTTGTGCTAACAAAGACAACTTCTAACACAGTCTAAAGCTACGCACGTCAAAGGATGCTGCCAGTGTCAGTGCAGTACTTGCACACAAAGCTAAGTCCTCTCTGCCCCTTGCTCACAGATGAGTAAAAGGTTAACTTGTTTTCTCAGAGAGGAAAGGAATAAGCCATATCACATTTCCAGCGTAGGCTGGAAAAAACATAATCAGGAGTAGATGTCAGCACAAGATATGTACTCAGGATAGTTCACACTGGAAAAAGATTGCCTAGGAAAGATTCTAGACTCAGTGAAAATGCTTCAAAACAGGTTACAGAAACACCTGTCGGGATGCAGATGTAGTTGGCATACCTTAGTTCGGGCAGTGAGACCAGATGACTTTCTGAAATCCTTCAAGCTTTATTTTTCTTTGAATTTAACATGATTGTGTAACTAAGTTAGTAACTTAATGCTAAACTGCACTTTGCCAGAAGTACTTGCAGTTTAGCATGAAACTTGATGGTCATTAAAATTCATTTCACTGAAATATTAAATACAAAGAAATCTTTCTAAGAGGTGAGAGAGGAAAGGAGGTACAAAAAATTCCCTGAGAAAAAAAATCCGCAGATAATTTATCTTCTGCATACTGCACTCCAAACAATTTTCAAAGAGAAGATGCTTTCTCTTTTGAAAGTAGCACACAGGTTGTCTCCCTGGAAAGTTTAAGATTATGCAGGTAAGAGGAAAACACCATCTCTATCTCAACTGTCTTCTCAGTTTTGGAAAGAGATTTTAACAGAAAATTTGAAGAGCCACCACAGTTCAATCCCAATGTGACTACATGGAATAACAGTGCCTCATAAGCATTAATATTTTTTAAGAGAAGCTGAAATAGGCATGCAATTCGGGAGCATAAACTGAAACTGCAGCTGTTCCATCCATTCCAGGTATGGATAAATGAGGAAGCTGCTATAGGAAAGAGGTTATCCAACCTCAGCTGTGCGGTGTGCACATTCTCACCCTTCAGGAAACACAAAGTAATTCAAATTCTTTCCTTTGAGTGTCAGAGGGACAGGCAACTCCAAATCACATTGCATTTTCCAGGTCACATGAACTTTGGTGTTACGTGCACACCATGAAGTAAAAAATGCAGAGCACATCACAAACTAGTTTATCTTGTAAAAATTTGTCTGTGCACCCGTATCTTTTGTAAAGCACAAGAGTCTGAACTTCAGCTTTAGAGATGTTTATTTACAAGTTATTATGATTAATACAGTGATGACATGACTCTAAAAGTTATTTGCACATTTTTCGAATAGCTCCAGTTTAAAACAACATGAATAAGAATTCATTGTAAACTCAGGTCTCTCAACTGTAAATTAAGCTATTTGCATTTCTTCCCCTATCGAGAGCTCACCAATGCAAAAACACTAGCAGTACAGCAACTGCGAACTGCTGTAGCTACAGAAGGAGATTCTTTTGCATTCCTACTTCTTTTCCCTTTGTGTTTTTTCAGTTTAGAAGCATGAATAACATTCTTGTTATTTTATATGCAGACCAGTTCAAACAGTTTCAGAGATTTTTTTCGCCTACAGTCTGCTGCTGGTGTGAATTTTCAAGCTGTCTGTGTGGCCGCCACTGAAACCACTTTCAACACACAGAGTCAGGCTCAGCCTCATTGAATCATGAAGTCATAGCTTTAAAGATCAGTTCACGAACCATTAAGTAGCACATTACACAACCCGTTCAATGATGACAAGATACAAATTTGACCATTTGATTAAAAGAGGATCAGTCTCCTTGCTGCCTGTGACCGAGATAGTCACTCATGGACCCTGATTTCATAAACACTGAATGAAACTCATATTGCATCTCCCCTAAACAAAAAAACATTTTAAAATCTTATGCTAAATGACTATAACTTGCAAACAAATAAAGTCTTTCTTTGGCTGCTACAAAATCGCCCCCAAATTTCCTATTTGAATAGTAAGTTGAAGTATCACAGACAGAGATTTTCATCTGTTAAGTACAGCTTCAGGACTGTAATTAGAAGACAAAGAGAGGCTCTTCAATGCTCCCTGACTTTGAATCCAGGATTTAAACACGCTACAATGTGTAACCAGATCATCTCATGTTTTTCTTTCCTAAACTGCTATAAGATCCCTGGTGAGATGATGGCTGATGACAGATGACAGAGCTTGGTGTCTCAACTGACTGCCCCAAAAGACCTGAAATCAAAAAAATACTATGAGTATCTTAATTATTTCCAACTCATGTGCATCAGGAAAATCAGAGGCTTCTGTAATGTTTTAAGCTCCAAAATTCGTTTAACAAGTTCAATAGAGCAGACAAGCCTAGATGTTCGGAAAGCAATATACCATATGTATTTTACATATGCAAATTACAATTTAATATGCAACAGTTTCCTTTAAAGTACCATGAAAGGCTATCTTTATCAGTCCCCATGATCATTATGTGAGCAATGACTGTGTGGCTGATCTACTTCTCAAAACTGAGTCGATACCTTTAGTGATGTTCCCAATCATATGGCTTTAAAAAAAAAAAAAAAAGTACCAGTGTAATCTTTCAGAAGTCTAGAAGTTTTAGATTTGCAATTTAGCGTGACCTCTGTCAAAGTTCATAAGGTCTCCATCTGCGTGTGAGTAACTGCTAGGCTACAGAAATATGGACCCCTAGAGCAGCTTGCTCCTGACTACCTGCTGCTTCCAAAACACTGGCCAGACATTAGCCCCACACTTGCAAAGGATCAAACAGAGGCTAACAGGCAGTGCTTATTTCATGCAAAGTTAGACACTAAACTGAAGTATATTGTATTCATGTTGCAGTGGTTTTCAGGGAATTTTTCTTTTTCTTGACCAGGTCTGCAGGCTGCCAGGAACAAAATCATATTTGTTAACCTGACAAGCCATGACATTTCCAACAAACAAACAAAATCCTAAACTGTATCAATTTATTTCCCCTCCAGAAAACAAAATTGCACTTCAGCATCATTTTTTTTTACACTGTTAAGACTGATGCAGAACTGCAGTTACAGTTATATTTTTCTTTTTTCTAAGTCAAAATATAATAAAAAATAATAATCAAAGTTTGTTGTACCTCTATTTTTTTTATTTCACTCAGCTGTATTCTTCACACAATATTACATCAGTAGAAGCTCAATTTAAGATGTACTTCTTGGGTTTCAATTTTGACACACTATTTTCCAGAATACCTTTGTAAAAGAGAGCAGACTAGCATTTAACTTCTGGAGATCTAATGAAATTAAAAATTATGTATTTGTATGTTTTATATATAACAAACACATATTCCTGAGGTTCAATTAATTTCCCAGTTAAATTGTAGTTATTGCCTCATAAATACATGAGCACAGTAAATAATCACATTGTTCACCAGAGCTGATTAGTAACTACTATTTGAAGAAGTCCTCATTAAAAAAAAATAAAATAAAGTTATAATTGGAAGAAATTACTCCCCATACTGATGTCTTGCCTCCTTCCCTTCCTCATTCTCTGGATTACATCCGCCTTAAAACTTTGCTAAACATACCAGATTTTTCATTAACTTACAAACTGTAGCCTAACTCCTAACCTGTCTTCCCAAGAAAACACAAAGAAGAAAAAGACAATAAAATTAATTTTATAGAAAACAAAAATTTTATAGCAGGTTTATGAACAGGATATCACACCACATTTTTACTCACTAAAAATCAGAACTTGGAATGCCAAGGCACAAAACCATAGGCAATGTTTTCACTATAAATATTTACTGACACTAAACATATTCAGTGTTGATTAGCCTTTTTACAGTATTAAGCTTCTGTCATCTTGACGTCTGCAAACACAAATCTGCATTTATCCATGTAAACTTAATTGGAGTCCTACATGTCTCTCTGTAGATAAGCAGTTGAATATACTTAACTTGCTGATAATTTCAAATTGTGCTAAGTGAAATAGAAAGAACTCTATCTGCATACTTACTGATTGCAAAAACATGTAGAGTACAGTAATAGAGGTTTCTCTTTTTTAAAAAATAGCGAAGCTAAATTATCACCAATCAATTTAAATGCTGAATAAGAATAAAAGCTATGAAGTTTAGGAGGCATCCCAGTTGATCT